CTCCAACTGAGCTCTGTCCAGCTGGTTGAGCTTCTTGCTCGCATCACCCAGCTGTGATACACTTCGTACAGCTTGCTATCTTCATTTTATTCAATCCTTCTAAGTCTGTTGGTCTATCTCCCGACCTAGACTTAGTTTTCCCATGATCCATTTTGGTGATTTACTTCATCTAGCTTGTTCATGATCAATTCCCATGATCTGAACCAAAGCAGTCTCGATTCTATTGAATATCTAAGACTTGTGTCAAGTTCCAGGAATTGGAACATGACGGTTCAGCTGGTGTGAGCTGACCAGTGAGTGTGAAACTAGACCGAGCTGGTCTGAGCTCACCCGAGCTTCCCCCAGCTAGGTCGAGTTGTCCCAAAACCCCGTTGAGCTACCCCTTTTTACTCGTGTAGCTCCTTTAACTCCTTTTCCTTCTTTATATGGCTAAGTCTCAGTTCCCTGATGCCCTTAACCACGTTGCTAGACCACGCTATCCTTGCCTTTAGGTCTCGTGACCTGACTGATGCGTCTCCTCGCACCATGGTCGGTCCAGACGATCATACTCAGGATCGGGGACATGACAAACCAACTCTTCCTTTTTCTGTTTCTTTTCTCTCTTTTTCTCATCACTCTCTCCTTATTAGTGTTAGAGCATGTGCAACGGAGTCTTTTAACCAATCCTTAACTGTTACAAAATTAATAAAATAATTATGTGCAGCCCTTTTGTTAGGTTGTTGTGCCACAAAAATCTCTAGTAGTCCCTGATTAAGGATTTATTTCTAAGCAGTATGGTCACTGTTCGTAGGACCCGAATCATCATCCCTATTTTTAAGCTTAAAAAAATAAAAAATAATAAAAAATTCCTAATTACTATTTCTAAGAATTTGTGCCCAGACTCACGATTGCTGATGCTCTTAGGAGGAAACCTCAACAATCTCACCACCTCTTATGCATTTCAAGCATAATATAATCTTGAGTTTAACCGCTGTTCGTCGACTGTTTCTTTAGAAACCGTACATATGGCAATTGTGGAAAACTTACTTTTCAGTTCCATGTAAACTGATTTGCTTCCTTCATAATTAAAATCCAATTCAGTTTGTGAGCACATATCCAGAGATTCATCAATACAATATATTAAAAATATATATATGACGCTCATTTTTGAGGGAGGTAACGTAATGATGGTTAGATCGAGAAAACAAAGAACAACAATTTGGAAAACAAAGAATAGAAGACTAAGAGTCTTACATTCTCATCGATGAGTAACATCTCAAGGCTCATCAGTTCCTTGCGTCTGTTGATATTTCTGGCCTCCCAAAAGCGGAGGAGATGAACCTCGGCCTCGTCGGTGTTAGAGCAACGTCCGGCTCTGAGGTCGGCAAGGAGAGTGTATAAGCCGCCATCAATGGAGTTGCTGCTAAAACTAAAGATCTCTATGTTTTTTTCTGGGGTTTGAAGTGCGCTTTCCATGTCTAGAAAGTGGGATATTTATAGTGCCGCTTTGAAACAATAATGTGGTAAGCCAAGAGGCCGATTGAATGCAAAGATTAGTGGATAATCACGCTGGGAGTAGGAGTAAAGCTCGAAATAATAAAAGGGGAAGCCGTTATTATTTGAGATCGAAAAGACACGGAGGAAGATGAAGAAGATCAACCCTAAAACTTTGATGGACTCTGCCTATGATTTGGTAGTGCCCCAAAATGCGCAGATCCGAGTCTTAAACGATACCGGCGTTGTTTTGAGGTTGCTGATATGACGAAAAAAGCTCCACCGTCCTTGCTGATGTGACAACATAAGAATGGAGAAAAATTAGTTTTATTGTATAAGATTATACAAAAGAAAGTTATTTGATTCTGAACATAAATCCACGCTTTCGAGTGCGAATCAAAATCTAGTTTTTTTTTACAAAAAAAAAGTACTGAACAGTTAATATGATCTAGACGTAAGCTCTGAAACATTCTAAAAAAAACGAGCTCTGAAAATACATGGCACAAAGTACGTAGCAAGATTAGACGAAGAGTTTATAGCACCGTGACAGATACAAATCAAGACTTATAAATATGAAATATAATTAACTAAATAAAACATATATACAAATATTCTAAACATTATTTACCAAGTGATCAGCACAATCATTCTAAAATAATAATGACATGACATATTAAAAATGTGATATAGCTTCTATTTAATTATGATACACTTTTGAAATAAACTAGATTTTGATCCGCGCTTGACAAGCGCAGAAATTTTTTATGATTAAAAATTTATATAATTGGGGTTTGTCTTAATTTAAAGAATGTTTTGGTATAAAATTATTTACCAAAATTTGTGGTGATAGTTGTTTTTCATTAGTTTTTAGTTTCAGTTTTTATTTTTAGATTTTGTTTTAAATATTGATTTTTGGTTTTTAGTTTTTAAGTTTCTATTTTTGATTTTCAGCTTTTGGTTTGAGTTTTTAATTTTTAGACCCGCTGATTTATTTTGAACTGATATTACCAACAAACAAATCTCAATTAATCGAACATGTAATTTAAAACTGAAAAGATGACAAAATAATTTTCTAAAAATTTTGAAATAGTTTATTTTGTAAATAAAAAAAAGAAAAAAGTATAACCTGCGTTTTCAGCTTTTGGTTTTGGATTTTAGTTTTTAGATTTGGTTTTTGGTTTTACTTTACTTTTTTTTTAAATGTGTAAATTATTTAAGAAAAATAAAACAATAAATTATTTAAAAGTTACCATTAAAATTTATCAAGATAGAGTGATTGTTATTTAAAATTAAAAAATATTAACATGTTTTAAAATACATGATTTAAATAAGTGATTAATAATAGATAATTTTGTTTTGTTGAAAATATTAAATATTTTTGGGCTAAAAAGTATTAACATGTTTTAAAGTACATGATTTAAATAAGTGATTAATAATAGATAATTTTGTTTTTTTGAAAATATTAAATATTTTTGGGCCTGAAAATAGTAATTGATTTTTGATCCATTAAGGTGAAAAGTTTATTTAATGTTTTTTGGAGTTTTTCTTTAATACTATGCCCAAAAACCAAACAATTAAATGTCATAAAAACAAAATTAAGCCCAAAACTCTATTCCATAAATAACCGCCGGTTTAATTTAAGTAATGCGGTTCAATTAATTATATAACTTGTATTATTTGTAACACTCTAGAAAGAGTCCAAATTTAAATGATAACGTGTATCAGTAGATAAAATGAATGACTCTATTTTAATAGAATAGATATAATACAAAGATGAATTATAGAATTTCATATATAAGGTAATAAGTATATAATCATTACCAAAATTAAAATAATGTAAAAAAAAACATAAGCAAAAGAAGTTGCCTAGATGTACTTTACTTGAAACGTTAAATACACACAAGAAGTTAAAAACAAAGAAACTAATAATATTCATTTACATAACATAGTAATTAATGAATTTAGAAAGAGAAAGATAAAATATATGTATAGATACTTATAATTATTTGTATAAATATTTATATTTTTTATCATTTAATCTAAACAAATACAAAACTAAGTAATAGCAAACACCAATCAAAAAATTTCTGGATACTTAGGTATTTTAACTTAAATTTCCAAATAATTTTTTTTTGTTAAAGAATATTTCCAAATAATCGAAGTTGTGTAGGGTTTAGTTGAAATAAACAAACTTAATCAATTTTTTTCTTTAACATTATACCATCTCCAACCAAAATTTATTTTCTCCTCTGTATATTTCTCAAAATTAGAACTCTATGATATAAGTATATTTGACTTATTTTCTCCTTTATAATAGCTCTATTATAGAGGTATATATTGGGAAAAATCCACATATATATAATATTTTTTTCTATTTTCAAGAAAAATAGAGAGGAGAAAACAAGGTTCATTTAAAAATATTCTTAATCGAGTGATTGTTGTAGATTTGTTTAGGTTAAACTTTTATTAGTTAGATATATTTTAACTAAAACAAACAAAACTAAAACTATTATAATTTATATGTTTATAACGTTTATATTTATAAATATATATATAAAGTATTATTTCAAAAAGGGAAACTTAATATAAACCAAAATAAAATCAAATTAAAACTTATTAATCTAAATAAAACTACATTAAATGATTATTTTATATTTTAAAAAACTTATAATATTAAAAATATAATATAATGTAAATCAAATTTTATTTTTAATTCAAAATTGATAATTTTAAACAAATTACTATTTATGCACCTGGCACATGAAACCACATAGTTATTTTGAAATAATATGTGAGGATCAGGGCCGGAGCTAAGATTTTGGGGGCTTGAAACATTTCTTAAGAACTCTAAAAATTTTGGGGGCCAAAGTCAATGACTCAATATTTAAAAGCTTATTCCTAGATTAAAAATTTCTAAAATTTTTAGGGCCTAGACGAATGTTTCGTCCGGCTGTGTTCAAACTGGCCCTGGTGAGGATTGGTTGAAACCATTAAGAATAGCTTTTCAACCTTTCAAAATTCAAATTTCGTCATCTCATATTACGCCAGTGCATTTGGTGAAAAGAAAACGAACAGCGATAAGAATATTTGCGTAACCAGCAACCTAGTTTCGAACACATGATAAATGTGTCAATCTTCTCAAGTACCATGCCGACAGTTGTATCAGTAATTTTTTCTATGGAAATACAATGTGACAGATTTTGTTTTCTCAAGTACCATGCCGACGGCTATTTTCGTACATGTTTCGTCTCTGTTTCCAGTCCATGTATCCGTGTCAGTTCTTGTACCCGTGCCGGTGCTACTTAGCCCAGAACATAACACGTCCATTGTCTGATATATAGTTCAATGGTTGTTTTCTTCTCTTTATAAAATCTTGTGGTCTCTGTTATGAATAAAGCTTATCTATTTTGTTCATGTGCCTCTGGATTAGTCATACAAATCTTCACTTTTTCCACCCCCATTGTTTGACTAGAAAATATAGCCTAGGAGTTCGATTGTGTCTGTCCATATTACTAGAAGGGCATATAATAATTCATAAATTCTAATGAATCCAAGTATAGATTTTTTTATAGTAGGTGTGACAAAAGGACCCAAGAACATTGGGAAAAGAAGAAACAGTAGAGTATTTAAATAAGAATAAAATAAAAAACACACTGAAATCACTTGCAGACTGTGAATTTGCAAGTCCCCGAATTAGCCTTGATGAAACGGATAGCTGTCATGAGAACATCGTGCTGCGAGGTCCCAAGGAGAGCCATATTGGTATATGTGATCACAGCAACAGAGTTATAAGGAAAGCCAAGAGAGTTGTATGAGTTGAGTAATGCAGTTGTTGCTTCCCTTAGGAGAGTCTTGTAGGCTTCCCCTCTACCGTTAAGCGCTTCCCGTACTGTTATATCATTACCATATCTCCTCCCGGCTATTAGTCCAAACGCGACCGCAACCTTCGTGTCTGGACCTATCACCTTCCAGTAGCATCTGTATTCAGGTCTCATCCATAACCTATTTAAGTCACAAAGCCAAAATGTTATGTAAATTATAAGCAACATAGGTGGATCAAAGAAAAGAAAGATAGGTGGGTCAATTTTGATATGTATGTACTAAGCAGTGAATTAAAGAGAAAGCTCACTGGTGAGAACAAGCTGAGGGCTCTAGAAATGGAACTGGAGGAAAAGGTGGAAGCTTAAATTGAGGTGGCGATGTAGCTGGAGGAGGACTCATGGCCGGGGCCTTAGGAGGAGGTAAGACCGGGACTTGAACAATTGGAGGCATAGGTGGAAGCTTAACCTGAGGAGGGGGTATGGCTTGAGGAGGAGGCATGACCGGGACCGGAGGAGGAGGCATAACCGGAGCTGGAGGAGGAGGCATAACCGGAGCTGGTGGTGGTTTAGGACAAGAAGACATTGGCTGAACCGGCTGAGCAAGAAGGGGATCCACAGCGAACGTTTCAATCCCAAAGAAACTAAACAATAGTTTAATTTTCTGCGCAGGACCTGAAGCGATGCTGCAACTACTACTGGAGCCTTGTTGAGCTCCATTGTCTGAAACCTGAGCATAACAGTTGCTTAGATCCGGTGTCCCGTCGAATCTCATCACATATCCTCCAAGCCAGTTAGTGGTCTCTTCTCTTGACATGTATACTTGTCCATTTTCATCCAAACATGTGACACTAACCTTGATTCCTGCAAGAATTAATCAACAACACAGTCTTAACGAACAAGCAGAGATACAGCAAACACATACAAAGTGTTTACAATGTCATTCTTACTTACCGGAGACGGGAAAATCGAACAAAGATTTCTCTCCATCCTTGCATTGGTCACAAAACACCGTACCAGTGACCGTGGCATATCCGCTAACTCCATTCACAGTTAGGCATAGAATAAGAAAGGCCGCAAAGAGGAATAAATTATGATTTGAGTCCATTTGATATCTCAGAACTATAAGCAATAAAGAAGAAGATGAGAAGTTATGGAAGTCTATAAGATAAAATAGAGTAAATAAAAAGGAATTCATCACTTCTTCTCCAACCTTCAACTGCTAAAATATTAAATGAGGTTGTTGACAATGACAAGAAAAAAATTGTAGTTTATGGTCTGAACATTAGTATATTAATTCGTACGACTCAAAAACATTAATGTTTCTGCCTCCAAGATTGGCAACGGATATCAATTATCTCCCTAACCTTGTGTGCTGAGCAATAAATATTTCATTCGTTTTCTAAGTTTGTTTGTTTTCTAAATGGGTTTTGGCTGGGTTATAGTTATTGGTTTCGAAAGTATTGGTTCTACGTAGTTAATACTATCAAGACTTTGTATGAATATAGTTGTGTTGAGCTGTAACTAATGTGAACACAGTTCCACACAGTACACGTGAAGTGTTAAAAAAAATAAAAAGAAGAAAGTTTTACTCGACGTGTGCTGTTGCTGAACCAATCTTCTTGCAGTCTCACGGATATGATCGGCTACTTTCTTGGTTTAAAAAAAGAGGTTCTTGTGGTGTTCAAAAAAAAAAAAGGGTTCTTGTACTGTAGGAAAGTCATGCATTTGAATCTGTTACGCATGAATTAAAAATATTTTGTTTTGTTATAATGTTGAAAGGTAATTTCACATTAATGCTTCTTCCATGATTGAATTAAACAAGGATTGGTGTCGCAAGTTTATTAGGTCGTACCGGGTGATTGTGGTCGAGTGGTAAGGAGACGGGACTGAGACACCAACATGTTTCAGGTTCAATCCATCTGCTGCGCGAAACTAAGTTACAATTATCATGTTCATCTAACACGGATATGGCTCTATGCTTTAGGGCCCATTTGAATACCCAAAGAGATGGTCTATCCGTGGGCTGCACCTCCCCTTGAAGATTAGTTTGAACTTCTCCATGGGCCTAGGATACCTCCAGGTTAATCAAAAAAGAAAAATGTTTATTAGGTCGAGGAAATACACATTATGCATTGAATTAGGCGAAGACAATGACAGTATAGCTGATGGAAGATATTATACATATTTATCAAAGATATTATAATTATTTAGTAATATATATATATGTATACATAACTCAAATTCATGAAGATATTATATAATTCATAAATGAATTTCTAATCTTTTCTTAAGAAAAGCCGTTTTCTAAAAAATAATTTGAAATAAAAAAATAACAAAATAACTTTAAAAATAATTCTGATATGATAAATTCAAATTGTTTTTATTTAAACATATATCCATTAGGTCTATTTATAAGAAATTATAATTGTCTTTTACCATTTTTATAAAATATTTATAAGACATATAAAATCTAGTTTGGTCACTTTAAACTTGTGAACCAGTTTTTTTTTTTTTTGCTAAATATATTGTGAACTAGTTTTTTCTATGAGAACTTGTGGACTAATTTGGAAATAAAAACATGTATTGTTTGAAGTCATTTTTCTTTCTAATATATTTTACAAGTTTCTTATATAGTAACATCTTATCGTTTCAAAATATATCATGTAATTATGAGATTTAACTAATAATTTTCTTAAAAGAATTGAACCTAGTTAACTCATGCTTTCCATTTTTACGATTGATAAATTATTACTTTTAGACTAGAAGTAGTAATAATATTTTAAATGTAGGTTTAGGCCTGTAAACATATGTCGTTATCGAAAGTAATTGGGCCTGTAAAATGTACTAGTGGGCCGTCATTAGAATGGTTACAGATTCATATTTGAGCCATAGATTCACTTTCTTCCTCGTGTGCAAAACATGACCACAAATAGTAGTAGTGCAGTACAATAAGAATCCAATCAATGACATCTAAAAAGATCCGACAAATCACATCCATTCTCTATAAAAATCTCCGAAATTACACTACTATTTAATGTGTCAAATATCTAGTAACGTATTAGATACTCGCCACAGGTTCTTTTCCACAAATTACTTTCGTTTTGATATAACCTTTGACTATTCGACGAAGAACATATTTGATATTAAACGTGTAAGCAGATTAAAATAGAGCATCAATAACTATTCAAATGGTAGCCAGAAACAACAAGATCCGAACAAAAAACTATACAACATGTCATTATCTACTAACGTATAAGTTCACTCATAACAACTTTTCCACACATTTGACATTTTTATTTTATTTAGAGCTCGACATTTCTCCGAATGACATGTTTGATAATAATGTTAAAACAGATTTAACTAGAACAGTAAGATTAATCATTCTCATTATTATTCAATGGTAGCCAGACAGAAAAACACAGAGATCCAAACGAAGAAGAACACAAGAACAAAAAAAAAACACAACAGAAAGAAAAGAAAAACACAAAGCTACCATTGGAACAACCTCTCTCTTTCTCTCATCAGATCTAAGAAAGCTGGCCACAGTCAGCGATCACAACCTTACTCTTAGTCTTTCCACTGTCAGATCCAACCTTCTCAATGTCTCTAACAACATCCATCCCTTCAACAACTTGTCCGAACACAACATGCTTCCCATCGAGCCACGATGTCTGCTCAGTACAAATGAAAAACTGAGATCCGTTCGTGTTGGGACCAGCGTTAGCCATGGACAGGATACCGGGACCGGTATGCTTCTTGATAAAGTTCTCGTCCTTGAACTTCATGCCGTAGATCGACTCTCCTCCGGTTCCGTTCCCGGCGGTGAAATCTCCTCCCTGGCACATGAACTTGGGGATCACACGGTGGAAGGCTGATCCCTTGTAGTGGAGAGGCTTTCCGGATTTGCCGATACCTTTCTCGCCAGTGCAGAGAGCACGGAAGTTCTCAGCCGTCTCTGGGGTCGTGTCGGCGTAAAGCTCCATCACGATGCGTCCGGCGGGCTTGTCGCCGACGGTCATGTCGAAGTAGACTTTAGGGTTAACCATTTTTGTGTTTGGAGAAGATTTGAGAGATTTTAGGGTTTTTGGTTTGAATATGATTTAGCTAACGGAGAAGGAAGAGGGGACTGATATAGGGTGAAAATGGAATATTGATAAAAGGAAGTATTTTTAGCGATCGTTGATTTGTACACGTGGACGAATCTTGGAGAGGTTAGGTTAACTGTGGTTAGGTTGAATCTGACTAGGGTTAAAAGTTGCGTGGCTCCGAGGCAGAGAATATGTTGTTTCCACTTTTTACTGGATAAGAGCATTATTCGCGGATCATTATATAAACGACGTCGTTCGGTTCGTAGAGTGAGCTTCGGCTTGGTAAGCTGGGCCGGATGGTGACGTAAAGAGCCCGATTGGCTCTTGTTTTGTTTTGTGTCGTTGAAGCAAATTATAGCCCGAAACTCCAAGGTAGCATTTATTAAGTCCATAAAAGTAGTGCAACACACAGTACAAATTTAATACACTACCTAGGTGATTTTCCAGTGCTCATGCACGGATATAAATATTTTTAAAGTAAATATATAATAATAATTGATTACTATTTAGTTTTAATTTTCAATTAATTTATAATTTGTATGTATCATTTATATTAATAATATTTGATTACTTTAATTATACTTTAATTTTATATATGTTATATCTAGTCGATTTTGTTGTTTTTACGGCTAATTTTATATATGTTAAACCATGAATTCAAGTATCTGAGTATAAATTTAATGTTATATGAATAAAAGTATCTTCATTTTAAACATTTTTAAGATTATGAACCTCTTAAAATCATTTGTATACTATCTGGGGATATTGTCTATCTATTTGTTTTTTGTTTTTAAAACCCAAACCCATCGGTAATCCGTTAACATTTTTGTCGGATTTCCAATG